AATGGACTTTGCCATCACTGAGTGAATGTGTGTGAAAGGGTGAATGTGGCACGTAGTGTAAAAGCGCTTTGAGTGGTCGGAAGACTAGAAAGGAGCTATACAAGCACAGGTTGGCCATTTGCCATTTGCCATTTAGTGATCAAAAACCTTATTGATCCCGTACAGATGGTGTCTTTGAGAATCACAAAGTTCATACTTACCTCTAAATTAAAGTCGCCCTATATTTGTTTTATTGACGTATTCCTTCTCTGTTTTTTCCTGCAGCTACATGTACTGGACAGACTGGGGAGAGGAGCCCAGGATAGAGCGTGCCGGTATGGATGGCAGCAACAGGTACTGTAACTATATAACCCTTAAGCAAACCCAACTTCTGTACAGTACAGTATCATCTAGATGTTCAGAAGCAGTAAAAATTCTACAAGAATAATAATAATAAAAACAAAAGCAGTATTTGTAAGATCATTTTATGTGCCTTTGTCTCTAACAGGAAGGTTATAGTGGATGTGGACATATACTGGCCCAATGGTCTGACAATAGACCTGGTGCAGCAGAAGTTGTACTGGGCAGATGCCAAACTCAGCTTCATCCACAAAGCTAACCTAGATGGATCAGCACGGTATGGAACTTTGTGTGTTTGTTGCAGTAGACCTGTGCTAACCTGTACGCTTATATTCAGTACAAATTATTATACACAAAAAGCTCTATAAGCTTATTTTAAGAAACTACATCTAATCGTAAGTACCTAAAATGTCAAATGAACTTAAAGTTGGAGAGTGGTGAGTATTTTTACAGATACAGCTCAGTCAACCAACTCAGAGAAAGGTTTATTGATATGTGAACACAGCCCGGCAGTATAGTTCACCTCCGACGGCTTGGCCCAGACCTCCTCACTCCCTTCAGCATACACCCCTACCAGTAAAGGAGACAGCGGTGTGATGATACAAAATATCTTTCCCCAGACGGCTAGAGTCAGAGTGTGGAAGTGGTGCTGAGTGAAAGCTAAAAAGCAGCAGTAATGATGGTAGCAGATATACTTTCAATGAGCAATGAAGCATCAGCATGACATTTTTTTGGGTTGACTAAACCATTAGTCAACAGTCAACAGAGTCTTAGTCAACCAACTTTTCATTCTCAGAAAAACAACATTAAGCTTAGTTCGGGAGCTACGCCTCGTCACTGGGACGGAAGTTTTAGGGTATCGTTGCAACACAGACCTTTTCTCTTGTAACAGCACTGTTGCATATGCATATGTACTAGCTGCTGCCACTAGCTAGTTAGTGGTCCTATTAGCTCACTGAACAATTGACAATAATCGCTCTAAGCTCCACAATGAAATATTTTCTTTTTGTCAAGTATTGAAATTTTCTAGATCTCGTCTTTAAATGTGATAGTTTGTTATGGATTTGAAGCAGTATTGAAATGTTATTTATTGTGACAACCCTTTTTGTGTGATTGGTTACCAGTAATGTAAAACAAGATAAGATAACATTTTGTTGATCCCAGACTAAATTAGGGGTTACAGCAGCGCATGAAGAAAGTCCCTGCTTATTTTGTTATTTAAAAGCTTTTATTATGAAGCAATCAAATCAGGAAATGTTGGAAACAGTAAAATAAAGCAGATATCCGAAGGTACAAAAAGGAACACAGGAGAGAATCTGGTCTACGTCACCGCAATCCGCTTGTAAGCGGTCAGGCGCCCTTTGGCCCAGATGGTCCAGCTTGGGCACGGCTCGATCCAGCTCGGCACATTTAAACTAGTAATGGGAGTGCAAATCAGCTGTGCATGGTTTGACTCATAGTGTACAAAAGTGCCAATGGAATTACCCATAGATCAAAATTAAATCAAACAGTAGAAATGTCATGAAAATGTCAGTACTCAGTAAGATGATCACTTCTCAAAACCCTAGGTTAAAACATTCAGTCAATCTTAAAAGCTTCTGATCAGTACCGATGAAAGGTTTATAATACCATGGTTGTCTCACTTATTAGCTGCTATTATGGACAAACACTTAAATAAAACACTTAAAATTCTAGCAGCTATAAAGGTTACAGCACAGAACACTATTTCAGGTTCCCTTTATTGAAACTTTACAGATCAGCAGAAATTCTTTTTGCCCTGTTCAACTTCTTTCCAACAGAGAAGGGGAGGAGGAGGAGGAGAAAAAAAAACTGTACAGACAGAATGAAAGAAAAATATATATAGAGAGATTTGTCCAACACAAACAGAGCTGTGGTATGGAGGCCCCAGTCAAAACACACAGCTCTACACACACTCCCAGTGCATCTCTCTTACAGCTCAATCTTTCCTTCTCTCCTTTTCTCCATCTATCAGCCTTCTTTCTCCACATCTTATCATTCTCTCTCTTTTTATCCATCCAGCTCATCTCCACCATTCTCTTGGTGCACCACTTACAAGGGAAGTTTCTAGACAAGCATCTACTAAAGTTTAATGTTAAAAAGTTCAATTTCTAGATCACTAACCTCAGGAGAAGTATGATTGTTTCACCTTGCTGCTTTTATGTTAATCTGCTGCTATTCAGGTCAGACATATGCTGTGTTGAAAAGTTGCACATCCTATGTTAGCTAATATTAACAAAACAGATAGTTAACATTTTGCTAACTTTATCTAACTTGAGTGGCTGATATGAAAATATATGTATATATATATATATATATATATATATATTGCTTTTATCTTCAAAAGTCCTGCCTCTTTTTGGCCTATACTCCAATAACAGTTGATCAGTCAGAACTTCGATCAACTGTCAACAACCCTAGCAACTGATCTTAATTAGCTAGCAAGTTACCTAGTGTTTTGATAACATTATCTTTCAGATATAACTAGCTACCTAATGATTGGTGTAGATTAGCTAGTTAGCTAGTGTTTTGCTAACATTAGCCAACTTAAGATGTGACTATATATATATTGCTTTAATCTTGCAGCACATTGCATATCTAAAAAGAGGAAAAGGAGAAAGTTCCAACTGAGCAAAAAGGGGAGGAAGGTTCAGTTCTTCTTGACCAATTACACACATAGTTCACATCCAGCCAGAGACCTTTATTTGCAAGGCCATTTCCCCATCCCTCTTTCTGTCCTCATTTCCTGCCATCTCTCTATCCTTGGCTGTCAAAAACCCATAAAATGTGTAAAAAAGTAAGATTTTAGACTATTTGTTCGTTTGCTTATTGAACCAGTCTGCAACATAGATAGTCAGAACTAGATACTGACCAGATAGTCAGTGGTTTCCGTGGAACCTACTGCTAGGGTAGTGTAATTTGTTACCTGCAGATCTTTTCTATAGTGGCTACTATTTGGTGTAGAGGTTGGGTAAAATCCAGACCAAAACTTAGTGGAAATGTTTGACGCTGTTGGAAAAATGTGGTAACCTGAGCCAGCGACTTTGTTTCTATGGCAACAGCACACTAGTTCTGCAACCACCATATGCAGCTCTCCTTCTTATTGCTTGAAGCTGCACAACACAGTATTTTTATATAACCACAGTGCTCATCATGCAGCCAAGGCAGTGTATGTTCATATGTACGTTAGGAACATGTGACATTCTGTTGTACTAACAGCTATCGAGTCACAGTAGAAACAAGTACATGCACAACTCTAATTTGAATGTACCTGACAGCTTTAGTGATGAAATAATTTGCCTGTTTGCTTATTAATTTGTACACACACACACACTCACACAAAAGCTGAACAGAGCTTTGAAATCTGGAGTTGGTTACATTTGTTCTTTCTTTTTTTCCCTTAACCACTGCTGGCAGGCACTTTTGCTTTTACAGCACACACACGCACACACGCAACACACAAAACACAGACACACACACACACACACACACGGGACTAAAACGATGATTGATGAAAGCCAGTTTCTGGTGTGTTTATATTCTAAATACAAGACTCCTTTGATCCTGTGCCGAAACACGTTTGTGTGAGCACATTTTCCTGTAAGTGATTCTAAAGTGTGTTTAAGAAAAGAGCGACTCTCTCCTGATCAGATCTAACACATCATGCTCATACACACTCCTCCATGCTTTTTGTAGTGTTAAGAAAATGTAAATCTGCATCGTCGAGGTCAAGCTTCTGATCACAATGATGTGGAATGCGGTCTAAGTGTTTTCTGATCTTTCTTATAGTGCTTCCATCAGACCAAAATTTCACTTATATACAAGAAATGAATGCTTCCCAGAGAAGAACTCTTTAACATTTTCACTATTTTATTTTCAACGCTTTCTTTGAAAACCACTAATGGCTCTTGGATATTTTCACTAGTGTGTTTTGCGTCCAAGTGAACTGAGGTGGATGTAGGGCTTAGTATCAGATCTCAAAACTTTTTTGATACTGATCAAAATTTAACTGTAGCACTGAATAATAGTTTTAAGAACTGAAGCTTGTATATTGTATTGAAATATCTGTAGATTTTTAATTTCAGAAATATTATGTGGCTTGCTTCAATAAAACCAAAATAGCATTTTGCAACAGGCTTTACCAACATAAAACACAAACCTTCCTCTCATTCTAAAGAAGCTTTTATTTTGTCCTTCAGAGAAACAGTGGTGGAGGGCACCCTGACCCATCCTTTTGCACTAACCCTCTCTGAGGAGACCTTATATTGGACTGACTGGCAGACCCGCTCCATCCACGCCTGCAACAAACACAGTGGAGACAAAGCCAGAGAGATCCTCAGTGGGATTTACTCTCCCATGGATATCCAGGTCCTGGAGTCCTATAGACAGCCTTACAGTAAGTTCTACAGAATAGTACTATATATATATATAACATACTATGCATGCATTAGTGAGATCAGTATACCAGCAGTTACAGTGAATTGGAGTTAGTGTGATTGATCTGGGATTATTGAGAAATATGTACATAAATGGTAAATGGACCTGTACTTGTATAGCTCCTTTCTATCTTTGACCAACTCAAAGCACTTTTACACTACATGCCACATTCACCCTTTCACACAGCGATGACACAGCATCGGGAGCCAATTCAGGGTTCAGTATCTTGCTCAAGGATAACTGATATGTGTGGGAGGAGCCGGTCGAACCAACAACCTTCTGATTAGTGACACCGGTCTGCCTCTGAGCCACAGCCACCCATACTTATTGTAGAACACAAATCTTTGTAGCAACATACACTAGATTTGTAAAGCTTATACTAGGTTAGATTTTATTCATATCTTTACACTGTCTTCATAAAAACAAAGAGATATGGATTTGCTGTTTTGAGAAACTAATCATATTTTCTCTGTCACCTCTGTATTCTTCTGTGTCTGGTCTTTCTGTTTGTGCCACTGCAGTCCAGACTCCCTGTAGTGACAATAATGGAGGCTGCAGTCATCTCTGCCTGCTGTCTCCAGTCCAGCCTTTCTACAGCTGTGCCTGTCCCACTGGAGTCCAGCTTAAACCAGATGGAAAGACATGCAAGCCAGGTATGGATCTTATTAACACCACTATGACCACAAAAACTATCCAAATAGGTTTTAGGTATTATCAGTGTCTTGTAATCCCTAAAACCTGTAGAGGTGTTCTTTTAGAACCAATATAATTACTCGACCTGGCAGTTGAGGTTACCAGCCATGAGAAGCTACTCTCAGACTGTCCGTTTCCCTGCTGAAGGACAGGGAGTCTGGCGGAGATTTGACAGTCACTAGAAGCGTGTTCATGGCCCTTTGAGAGATGTGTGGGTGCCTGTGTTGTAACTGAGCTAGCTTAGGTCTAATATGCGAGCCTCTCTGAAGTGTGTCTGTGGGGGATTGTCAGTACAAAGCTATAGCAATGCTGATTATTGTTGTTATCGTTTGTCACCCCCGAATATCTTATTAAGCTGTTAAAACTAGTTTTTTCCACCAGCATGGTCAGGATTGCTAATGCAACCAGCAGGTATATGTGAGAGGCACAAACTAGGGCTACAGTTAGCGAGTCTTTCGCTCTGTATACTTG